CCCAAAACCCCAAAACCCCAAAACCCCAAAACCCCAAAACCCCAAAACCCCAGGGTATGTACTACCGTTGACCTGCCCTTCTGACATTTTAATTTAATTAATTAAGTTAATTTCGTAATTATTAAAACCTAAATTTACCTGAGCTCTTCAGCCTCCTAGCCATGAGGTCAAAATGTCTACTGAGAAGTAGTTTGCTAGACTTAGAAAAGGAGCCCTTCCCACAGATTTATAAGATGCTAGATAGTTTATATATCGTAATTTAGAGTTTAATAGGAATCGTGCTCGAAACATCAACCAAAATTTTGGATATTTCAAAAGGTGATAGCGTTGTTGAGCATGTTTAAGTTTTACTCATAAGCCCAGAACTTGGTGTCTATTAGGATCAGTGGCTCTGCCTCAGGAGAACCCTTCTCTGGATTGGAACACCCCAGAAAAGACTAATGAGAAAGATTAGGATTCATAATCTGCAACTTCTTGTAAAGATCCTCGATTTGTATAAGTTCCTTCAAACTATTGGCTAAAATTATTTGATATAAACCAAGAATTAAGCTAAAATAATGGAGATATCTCCAGCTGAACTTCCGAGCAACTAAAGATAATATTTTAGCTTTTTGCAGACCAATTCACCTAGCTTAAACCCCGAAAATATTTCATATTTTAGGCATTAAAGCGGTACTATCAACCAAAATATTTATAAAGAAATAAAATTCTTTTAAAACGAAACGATATGAGCCCTCGAGCACGCTGAACTTTGAGTTTCTTACAACTATAATTCAACTTACTCTCCACAAAAAGTAAGATATGTACCAAGAATGGGTGCCTGCAAAGATACAGCTTAGTACCATGAGTAGACCCAAGTGTAGATACTTCATTTGTGCCAGAAACAAGTACTGCAAAGAAAGTTAGGTCTTCAAATTTAACCGATGGTTCACTTTTTCAAGTTTAAATAACTAAAATTATATCAGCCTGAACCTAAACCAATTCTTTATGGTTCATTTCCAGGCATGGGTCTTTCTAATTGGGTGGTATGGCCATACCAACAGAAAGTTAAATTAAAATGTTTGCTTAATTAGTAATAGTTAGATATCTCCCCCATCATCAGATCCGTCTTCGAAAGCCGGGAAGCCCAGATCAGATGATGCGTGAGATCCTTCCTTTATCCCATTAGCACTATTGTTATCAAGAGCAATATCTTCTTGCTTCTCATGGTCAGGGTCAGGATCAGCATCCTTCTTTTCCTCCTTAGTAGTATCGTCTTCTGGATGCTTTTCCTTCTCGTCAACATTAGGATCCTTTTCGGGTTCTTCTTTCTCCTCCATCTGCTCAGATTGCTCCTTTTCCTCGTCGAGTAGATCTGGTTCGTCTGGTTCGTCTGGTTCGTCTGGTTCGTCTGATTCATCGTCGATGACCCCTTCCACATGTTTTATTTCTTCGACTTTCTGTGTTTTATTCTCGGTGGTGTTTACTCTGTCCGAATCACCGGTTTTCACAACCTCACTGTTCTTCTTTTTGAGCTTCCTTTTCTTTTGGATAGCGTGTAGGATGGGGTCGCTCTCATCTGGATCCGAATTTTTCTCTTTAGAGTCTTCATCAATCTTTTCAACTTCCTCTTTAGAGCGCTTTAGCTTCTTCCTATCTGTTTCAGGTAAGCCCTGGTGAGGCAAGACGGGAAGAGGGTAATTGTGGCAGTACTTTGTGTTCTTTGTAAGCATCTCTTCGATGCAGGCTTCCAGTGAATGTTTCCGCCAATTCTTCCAAAAATTCTTGAGAGATTCCTTAGATCTGCAATAGAGGATGCCATCGTTGCCCAAGCTCTCCCAGGTTTTCCTAGAGGCTTGAGACTTCCTCCCAGAGATCCAATTGAAGATGATAATAATCTCTCTGATGGTGTACTGTATCTTCTTCTTGTCAAATGGAAATTTTATTCCTCCTTGATAGCTACACAAAATATATTTGGCTTTGTCCTGCAACTGATTAGCTTCAATTGACTCTACGAGCCACTGGAAGGAATAGACAGTGCCTTCATAGTAGTCAGATTCTTTGGTATTCCCAGGTGTGCCGATCTGGTAGCAAAAACACTCATGATACTTGACAATATTGCCTCCATTTTCTCTGATAAGCTCGACCATTGTGTCTCTGTCCTTCACAGACTCCGGAATGTAGAAGAGCATAGAGACTCTTCCATATTTGGGGATTTCTTCAGTTAAAATTAGTGACTTGGCCTGGCCTCCATTCGCATCACTCTGCTCTTTATCCATTTTTAATATACCTCTATTATAGTTATTAGCTCTGGGGTTTTGGGGTTTTGGGGTTTTGGGGTTTTGGGGTTTTGGGATTTTGGGGTTTTGGGG